TAAAATTATTCATAATTGATTTCAGGCATACGTTGTCCCACCACCAATCCCTCCATTAGTGTCCCCAGCCTCCCTCCCGCCACGCACCTGCCACTATGGCTGACACTTCTTCTTTTTTCCTGCCCTCCCAACCCCACCGCCCCCTTTTAGGCACTGTAGTTTACAGTATTGGTACTAATGGGTATCGTGCATGACACTTTAACCTCCTTTCAGAACCTAGCCCCAGGCCAGAGTGACCATTTCCCTTGACTTGAAATGCCCTTCTAACTAGTCCTCTTAAAGTTTGATACGTAGGATTAAAAGTACTACTACTCTGGGTTTTCTGATCACAATGAACTATTAATATATACTTTCTATTGAGATTTACTGTGTGACAGACTTTCTGCTTGGTATGTTTTAAACATTCATTATTATCCTTGTAAAGACTAAGCAATTTAAAAAATAAAATGATACATTTTTTTCAAGTTGGTATGTGGTATCTCTCTGGACATACTCTGGTAAGTCATGGTCTCCTGAAATAGGATGCATCAGAGATCAAACTGAAAAGAAGAGTTTTGTTCGGTAATTAGGAGTCATAATAGCCCCTGCCTTGTGCTTCTGAATTGGTTTAAATGACCTGACTTACATTATTTCCACTTTTATTTTTTCTCCCAGGGTACTTTTATTAATAATTAGCTGTATAAAATCATTACTACGTATACATATATGCTCATTTGCTTAATACTTTTCTCTGGGCATATCTCCTGACCACTAAATATTTCCGCCTAACATAATATGTGGTACAGTGGCATGTGCCCAAAGAATATTTATTGAATCAGTTAATGATTCTAAGAATTGAGGTCCCCTGAAAATAGGGTCATTTGAGGCTTTCAGGACTGTGGTTTGTGCTGCAGAAGCAAGGTGCTAACCTTGCATGCAGCCAGGCTTTTTAACCCCTGGCATTGAGTATGATTCTGGAGCACAGAGCCAGGAATAAGTCCTTAGCATCTCTTGTTATCACCTAGACCTCCCTATCTTCTGTCCCTCTCCCGCCCCTCCCAAATCAAGACCATGATTTTCCATTTGTTGGGTCAAAGAGTTTATTTAGCTTGGCAGCGGTGTCCTACCCTATGATGAGACCATTCTCCTCCTACCTGATTTTATTTTTCTATGGATCATTTGGCAATTTGAAAACTATAGAAATTAAAGTAGAACGAGTAACTTTGTGTTCTCCCTCCCTTGTGCTTAAGTAGTCATGGTTATATTTATTTACGGCAAAGTGACAACTGGATATTGTTCTGTGGTTGAGTTTGTGAGTGGTTTTCTTGTGTTTCCAGAGAGAATTGGGTATCTGATAGTTCCAGTCTGAAGAGGCGGAGGGAGACTCCCCAGCCTCAATGATTGCTCTGCTGGGCCAGCAGAGCTTTAGAATCCTATCTGATCATCGCAGTTTGCTTGCTTTTGTCTCTGTACTTCTAAGAATTTATGTAAGGATTATTTGGAGTTGGCCTGATGACTTGTTTGCCTAGTTTACTGTTCTTTGTTCTGAATTCTGGCTCGCATAAACAAGAATTGAAGGGGTGGGGCAGGACGAGAAGGGGGAGTTCATTACCTTTCATTAGGAAAGAACAGATGGGTCGGGGTGGCACTTGTTTTTTCTGTAAAAGTAAACATTTTAGGCTTGACAGACATGACCTCTGTCACATGATTCTTTGTGTTTTTACCATTCTATAATGATGGGGGTGGGGGGCTCTGGTATAGGGGTTATGGCACTTGCATGCAGCCAGACAGGATTCAATGCCCAGCATGATGCATAGTCCCAGGTATGGCCCCAGGCACTACTAGGATTGATCGCTGATCATAGAGCCCAGGAGTAATCCCTGAGCACAGCCGCCTTGTGGCCCAAAACAAAGAAATAGTAATCATAACTTTTTAAAACAAGATGTAGGAGCTTTGGAGAGAGCTCAGAGTCAACCACATGCTTTGCCTGGCTGGCCCTGGGCTCCATCTCTGCATGGCCAGAGTGTTCCCAAACCCCGACAACAAAAAAGAAAACTAGCCGTCAGAGCACCCAGACGCCTTTAAAGATGTACACATCACGATCCTTGTAAAAACAAGACGTAGGTAGATTTGACCCGTGGGTCATGTTTTACCAACTAGATGAAGAAATTAGTTTATTGCTAAATGTGTTTACTTTTATATCTTGGGGGACGTGAACTCAGAATAATCTTGGGAATTCTCAGTTGATTGTGATCCAGGGAAGTTAGGTCTAGAATCCAACAAGGGTGCAGTGGCTGGAGCGTCACTTGTGGGTCCGAAGAGTTCAGGGTAACCTAGATTAATGGAACTAACGCACTTCACTAGCACTGAGGCTTTTTCCAGCTGCCTCTTGCCCAGAGCAGTGCTGGCCAGGTAGGGTAGGGACATGGGTCTAGAACTCGAATGGAATTAGCTTGACAGGAATATGGTGGCTCATACAGCTAGTTTACCTGATTGAGTCTCTAAAGTATATCTAATTTCCTGAACCTCTCTTGGAATGCAGGTAGAAATCTGGCATGTGCAGTCAGTTTGGCCAGTTTATAAAAATGAAAGAGCAGGTTTGTACCTTGGATTCTGAGAAGAGCATAAGATTCCAGTACATGATTCTAGGTTTGCTGTGTGTTTATCTCTGATCACTGACTATAGAGCGGGCCTGGCATAAAATACGTACATATATATATATATACATATATATATATATATATTTCAAGCTAATTTGGGGGAAAGAGGGTGTTGTGGTTGAGTTTGGGTCTCAGAGATGCGCATATTCATATTCCACCACCACAACATGCTAAACTCTTTGATTCAGAGTAATTTACTTAATCCGCTAAGCTTCATAGGATTGTGAGAGTTAAGTGAGGACAGTATATACAAAATGATGTATTGGCTTGATATTTCTTTTGTTGCTGGTATTCAGCAAACATTAAAAGGCCCTCCCGTTGATCGTCGATTTGCTCGAGCGGGCCCAGTAACGTCTCCATTGGAGACTTTGTTGTTACTGTGTCTGGCATATCGAATACTCTCGGTAGCTTGCCGGGCTCTCCGAGAGGGGCGGAGGAATCGAACTCGGGTCAGCCATGTTGGCCGCTTGTAAGGCGAACGCCCTACCCGCTGTGCTATCAGCAAACATTAAGAATCATAAAGAGGCCCTGGAGCGATAGTACAACAGGTAAGGCGTTTGCCTTGCACGTGGCTGACACGGGTTTGAGTCCCAGCATCCCTTATGGTCCCCTGAGCACAGCCAGGAGTAACCCCTGTGCATCGCCAGGTGTGACCCAAAAAGTAAAAAAAAAAAGAACCATAAAGATAATATGGAGGTTCATGAGATACAAGATCACAGAAACTGAATTTGTTACCAAAAGGTGCCTTTTTATTCAGTAGACATGTGACACAAGAGTTACAAGAATTGACTCTGTAGTTTCCTGATTGGTAAAATTGAAATAACCTGTTTTGGCAAGTTGTGCGATAATATATGAAAGGCCTTTAAGTTCTCTACAGCTTTGGGGAAAAAATTTAAAGTAGAGAAGAAACTTGTACATTTTGTTCAATTTCTTGAACTTGTAAATATGTTGAAACAGAGCCAGAGGTGATTGGTGTGAATTCAAAATGCTTGCAAGGGACTGGAATAATAACACAGCAGGTAGGGTACTTGCCTTGTACACAGCCAACCTAAATTTGATCCCAGCACCCTGCATAGTTCCCTGAGCTCCATAGAGCCACATAGCCCCCTGAGTCTCCTAGAGAGTCCCCAAGAGAGCCCCCAAGAGAGCCAGGAGTGAGGAGGCCTTGTGTACTACTGACGGTCCAAAATGTCTGCCAGAGAGACACAAAGGATGCTCCCGAGTTTGGGGCTTGCAGGTGATTTGTGACTAAGTGTAATTACTATAAATTTAGAATGCTCGTGTAAGATGATTGGAGTAGTGGGATTAAAACAAAAAGTAGCAATAATATTAATGAAAAGAAACTAGTTGAAAAAGCTGTGTCCTATCTGATTCTGGAATATGATGTTCCAGAAAAGACAAAACTATGGTGAGAGTAAAAGCATATGGTAGCCAGGGTTTGAGGACATGAGGAGTGAATCATGAAATGTGGGGAAGTTTTAGGACACTGAAAATACTCTCTATGGGACTGTAAAGGTCAATACATGTCACTTATCGAAACCCATAGAATGTATGACAGTAAGAGTTAGACCCAAATACATGCTATGGACTTGGAGTGATCTTAATGTGTTCATGTAGCTTCATCGGTTGTGGAGAATGTAGGACTTTGGTGGGCAAGATTGATCCTGAGAGCAGCTGTACATGTATGGAGATAGGGTATGCGAAAAATCTCTATACCTTTCTCTTAACTTTGCTGTGAATCCAAACTGACCTTAAAATATAGTCTTAAAAAATATGGGAGGAGGGGCTGGAGTGATAGTACAGCGGGTAGGGCGTTTGCCTTGCATGCGGCCAACCCGGGTTTGATTCCCAGCATCCCATATGGTCCCCTGAGCACCACCAGGAGTAATACCTGAGTGCATAAACCAGGAGTAACCCCTGTGCATTGCTGGGTGTGACCCAAAAAGCAATATATATATATATATATGTATATATATATATATATATGGATGGGGAGATAGTTTAGAGGGCTGGAACCCAGGCCTGCCCTGCACTGAGCCCCAGCTTTGCTCCCTGGTGCCACATGTCTCTGAGCTCTGGTCGTGCAGCTCTGCCTGGCAGCTGTCTTACTCTAGTAGGTGCATAGTTTTGGCCCTAGAATGCAGGGCCAGAGAGAGTGTGCAGCAGGTAGGGCACTCCGCTTGCATGCTGCAGACCCAGGTTCTACCCTCTCAGGTACCCCAACCCCGCCTCGCCTGGTGTCTGACCTTGGTGGCTCGAGAGGCTGCACTCCCGGCTTCCCTCAAACACCCCCGCCCCCGAGCATATTGATGTTTCCCCTCCTGATTTGTGTGACTGATTGCTGTCTCTTCCCACCCCCAGCTTTGGCAGCATGTAAGTGACTTCTTGCCAGAACCCAGGTCAGCGCTGAGAAGCAGCAGCAGGGAGGAGACTGTCCAGAGGAAGCCGATGCCAGCCGCGTCTGGAATTACACTCACCCGCAGGCAGCATGAGACGTCCTGTGCCAGCATAGCTCTCCAGGGGAGGGTCCTGGACGAAGCCTGCCCCTAGAGCCTCGAGAGGGAGATGGGGCCAGACATGAACTCTGTACAGTGAACACAGTCTCCGCTTATGAAGGAGTTCTAAGCGAAGTCATTATTAGTTCCCACAGACTCGAGCTCAGGAACCTTCTCTGTGAAGTGCTAGTGGTCAGCCTCTCTCCAGGACTTACCAGGATTTCTTCTGGCACCAAGTTGAACTCTTCTCGGTACTTCTGGCAATGACAGGTATTCGGGACAGATTTATCTGCTAAGAGTACTTGAGCAGGAAGAAGAAGAAGCAAGACTCGGAAGCACCTGGAGGGGAGTAGCTTGGACGTCCTGCCTCACCACGCACTTTCCAGACACTGTACGTGGGAACTCGCTGGGGATCGGCCCTGCCTCACTCGGAGTCGGTCTCTGCGCGTGGGGACGCGGCAGTTGGGGCTCCCCCAAAGCGGTTGGGACCCTTTTCACTTCTGTTGCCTCCCAACCTTTCTCTTCAGGATCTGGAGTGCCTTGGCATGGGGTCTGCTGTCCTGTGGAGCCTGGCTGCTCCCGTGCTGGCGTGGGGGACGCTCTGAGTGCTGCGCTTCGTTCCTGGCTGAGCTTGGCCCTCACCCACCCTGCACCATGTTCCTGCTGCTGCCTTTCGACAGCCTGATTGTCAACCTCCTGGGCATCTCCCTGACCGTGCTCTTCACCCTCCTGCTCGTCTTCATCATCGTCCCAGCCATCTTTGGAGTCTCCTTTGGAATCCGAAGGCTTTACATGAAGACTCTGTTAAAAATCTTTGCGGTGAGTTGTGTTGTTTGCCCACGGTTGTTTTGCCGGGGAGGGAAGAGGTGCTGGGAGGGTTGGCCCTGCCGGATTGTTTTAACGTCTTCCTGTGTATGGAGAAAGCTAGCCTGGGAAAGTCGCATTTGGATTCAAACTGAATTTGTACTTGTGAAACCTGTACGTCTTCCTTTTCCCAGAGGTACTTGTAGTTTGAGCAGAGGAATCTATTCCGTGTTCTACACTTTGCCTGTTTATCATTTGGGTTTGGGGGCCACACCTGGCAGTGCTCAGGGGTTGACTCCTTGCTCTGTGCTCAGGGATCTCATCTGGGGGTGCTCAGGGAACTGTGTGTGGCGTTGGGGATTTGTCCTAGGAGAACTGCGTGGACAGCGAGCGCCAGTGTCCTTTGGCTCGCCTTTGCTTACAGTGAAGTTCAGAATGAAAAACGTCATTCTCCACTGCCTGAAACACGCTGCTGGGGACATACTCATTCTTTATAGGTGTGGGATCGTCCTCTCTCTTGGTTCTTGGGCTTCAGACAGAAAGCTATTACAGGTTACCTCCACTCTGAAAGTGTGAGTGTTTGTATTGTGGTTGGTGATTTGTGACTGGGGGGAGGGGTGGATATCTAGTCTGCGAATGCTAAAGGATTCATGTCATTGAATGGAAATAGTGTTACCCAGAAATTTGATGAATTGTTTTGTTTTCTTTAAGATTGAGGAGAAGTTTAATAAATATTTCAGTACTTAACTAATTATAGCACTGAACTGGTCACAGTATAAAGCAAATGGGTGAAAAGTATTATTGCCGAGAATTTGATCCGTGCCACAAGATATTTATTATCTATCCAAAGATTTGGTGATTCATTAACACCATCTGTCTTCAGTAGTCACAAAGTCTTAGATATTTTTCCTATATCTGAGAATTTGAGAAATGCATACAAAATAGTAAAAATAGTAGTAAAACTGTTCATGTAAATTTTCAGTATAATTTTGTTAATTTTCCTCTGGATTCTTTTTCTTGGGTTGGGGGCAGGCTTAGTGCTCCAGCTTACCCCTGACTCGTGATCTGGTGGTACATGGGGGACCATCAGCATTGTGGAGGGATAGAAGGGGACAGAACTGGGGTCCACCCTGTGAATGGAACAGTCTACATTTAACCCATGGGGAAATCTAGACTCAGGATGATTAAGATAGAGTTCCGTGAAATAATTACTTTGTAGTAGGGAATATTTTTATGTTATGTATTGATACACATATAGGTATATATAAATACCTTAGGGTATTTTCTTAGTATTTAATATTCCTGTGAATTTTTCACATTCAAAAAATTGAGGTGAAAGTAAATTTTTGGGTTTTTTTTATTTCTTTGTCTTTTTGGGTCACACCTGGTAATGCTCAGGGGTTACCCCTGGCTCATTACTCAGGAATTACTCCTGGCAATGCCTGGGGGACCATATGGGGTGCTGATCAAACCCAGGTCAGCTAGTGTAAGGCGGACACCCTCCCTGCTGTACCATCATTCTGGCCTCAAAATTAACTTTTTTGGTTCACACCCGGCAATGCTCAGGGGTTACTCCTGGTTCATGCACTTAGGAATTACTCCTGGCAGTGCTCAGTGGACCATATGGGATGCTGGGAATCGAACCTGGGTCGGCGGCGTGCAAGGCAAACGCCCTACCCACTGTGCTATCGCTCCAGTCCCCAAAATTAACTACTTTAAGTGAACAGTCAAGTGAGACCATTTTCATAAAGACATTTAATTCTTTAACCACCACCTCTGTTCAGTCCAAAGAGAGTTAAGCATTCTCATTAAGGAGTTTGTGTCCACTCCTATTTTCCAGACCCCAAGTCAGTGTTCCGTTGATGAATTCACCTATTCTGTATGTTTTATGCAAATGAAATCATATGAAATATGCTCATTTTTAATAACTAGCTTTTATTTAGCATTACTTTTGAGATTCATTTATGTTCTAAAGTGTTTTAATATTTTTTAACGGCTAAATAATACTGTTATATCTTTTGATAGTGAGATTTTTGAGTACTTCTCCGCTGGGTTTTTCGAGTTCCTTTCATTCATTTTATTGAGCTATTTTTGGTTTGAGAGCTACACCTGTCCGTACACAGGCCTTACTCGAGACTCTGCTCAGGGATCCCGTGTGGTGGTGATCACAAACGCTGTACTGGGGATTGAAATGGGTGGGATGCATGCAAGGCAAGGGCCCTAGCCACTGTACTATCTCTCTGACCCTCTAGTTCCTGCATTTGAGAAGTCTGTAGGCCAGCAGACAAAGGATTTATTTCCTGACAGCTGGTTTGAGACAGAGGTCTCAGGCCCCTGCAGATCTACTGAATTAGAATCTGCTTTTAATAATATCCAGATGACTCAGAGGAACACTGAAGTTTGAGAGGTGGTCAGTTGAGTCACTTTTTTACACATTACACATTAGCTATTCTAACGTGTAGTGGTTACTTTAATGAAACAGGAGATGTAATCTTCCAAAATTTGATTTTGAGAAAATCTTCAGGAGAACTTAGGGGTTCCTTTGAATCTACAAGTTACTATCCATGACTTTTTCCTGCTGTGAAAAACTTAGGAATGGCATTAGAATAGCTGGTAGATTTTTGGAAGAAAATAGTGAGTGATGTCTAGCTATTCATTCACGTTTATAAACTGGGGCTTAAGCTATAAGCTGGGACTGGAGCGATAGCACAGCGGGTAGGGCATTTGTCTTGCACTTGGCTGACCTGGGTTTGATTCCTCCGTCCCTCTCAGAGAGCCTGGCAAGCCACCGAAAGTATCCTGCCCTGCACGGCAGAGCCTGGCAAGCTCCCTGCGGTGTATTCGATATGCTAAAAACAGTAACAAGTCTCACAATAGAGATGTTACTGGTGCCCACTCTAGCAAATCGATGAGCAATGGGAGGACAGTGCTACAGAGCTATGGAAATCTTTGTTTTCTTTTTTCTTTTTTCTTTTTTTTTGGGGGGGGACATACTCAGCGACGGTTGGGGCTTACTCCTGCTGGTAATTGGGCGCATATGGGGTGCCGGAGACCAAACCCAGGGCAGCTGTGTGTAAGGCAAGTAAATGCTCTTATGCCATGGACTGTCTCTCCAGCCTTTAAAATCTGTTTTTAAAACATAAAAATAGGAATTACAAACCTAGGGTTCTTCATGGTAGCTAACATTTTTTAACTTGAATGTATTTCGGTTGAAGGAAAGGATTTTGTTATGTTTGTTTGGGCCACACCGGGCGGCGCTCAGGGATCGCACCTGTGTGGTGCTGGGCAGTGGGTGTGCGTCTGCTGCAAGCACAGCAAGTCCTTACGCAGTGTATGGATGCTCTGGTCCGGGACAAAAGGATGCTTGTATTGTCTCTGCTTCATTTAGAAAATGTCCCTCATATTGTCACTGTCACTGTCCTCCCGTTGTTCATCGATTTTGCTCGAGCGAGCCTAGTAACATTGTGAGACTAGTTACTGTGTTTGGCATATTGAATACGTCACGGGTAGCTTGCCAGGCTTTCGCTGTGCGGGCGAGATACTCTCGGTAGCTTGCCGGGCTCTCCAAGAGGGGCGGAGGAATTGAACTCAGGTCAGCTGTGTCATCTGCGTGCAAAGCAAACGCCCCAAGAAATTCTGGTTGTTTTTTTTTAATTTTGTTTTGGGGCCACGTCCTAACTCTGCTCAGAGATCACCCATGGTATGCTCAAGGGGTCCTCTGAGGTGCAGGGGATCCAACCTGGGTTGGTTGCCTTGCAGGGCAAGTGCCCTAGCTGCTGTTTTTAAAAGAGAACCCTATGGCATAATATTCTTATGACTTTGGTAGATTAGAGTTCTGTAGTGGAATAATTAGTGTGTGTTGTTAGGTCATTTTATGGGACAGGTGGTCTTGATCTGTCAAACTTTTGGTAGCCACGTCTTGAAAATTGCTAATTTAGAAGTGATGGGAAAGGTAATATGTCTGTTGAGTTCCCGTTTGTCTGTTCACATGTATACATATATGCTTCAAGGTGCCTATTTGTGACCTCAAGATGTAGAATTTTAAAAATTACATTTTTGTACCTCTGAGTTTGTTGGTACCCGAGGGGTCTGGATAATTGTGGATCTTCCCTGCAGAGTTTTCTGGACAGTTCCCAACATGGCTCTAAGCTAGAGTCAGGATGGCTTAAAAGGACTGATGTGTACCCAAGCTCTGTGTGGCTCAGACAAAGTCCAGCCTCTCCTCGCCCAGAGTGGCTGTTAAGAACTGAATGCTACTGCTCTCAGCAGCACTATCAAGATAGAGTCTTACCAAACTGTCTCAGGTTTTGGAAAGTATATATTTGCATATCCATGTATATATCTGAAATGCTGTAGATGTCCTTTGAAAGAGAAGATATATTATTTTGTGATTCCCCCCTTCACTCCCCCCCCTTTTTTTTTAGCCTTTCCATCCCTTCTGTACATTGTAAGTTCTAGAACTCAAGAAGGTTCAGAGAAGGTTCCTTGGGGCTCTCCTCTGCACATTTAAATCAGGAAAGCATTTTAATGCTTTTGCTTGTGGATTCTCAAGGCTCCTGAGAGTCTGATATAATTAGTGTAGGTGGGCTTTTGAAACAGCCCCCAGTGGAGTCCTTTGGACCTCCTCTTGATTGGGACCCCGCTTCCATCTCTCTAACATTTCTAACATTAGAATGTTAGAATGTGGGGGCATCTCACTAGTATGTGAAATTAGATTTGAACTGCAAGAAGTAATGTAACTTCTGCTTTTCTCTGGTTACAGGTCTCTGGAGTCTAGGTGCCTTGTTCTGAGGAAGACCAGGCCAAATCTAGTTCACTTCTGGAGTGGTTCTGACAGCCATTCTTGGTACCTCCCAGTGAATTTCACTTTCATAGTTATGAAGATAACTATGTTCTATATCATTCACTAGTAAAATCCCAGAGTGGCTGATGCTGCCCTGGGGCGCAGGACAGTGTGGAGGAGTGTCCACTGCATATTTGGTTTCTGTTTGTCCCTTCAAAGATAGATTTGCACG